TGGCGACCGGTTCGCGAAAGGGAAGAACCGGTTCGGTTAAAAATTGCTCAAAAAACCGGAGGGTAGAAACGTTTGGGTTTAAATTTTGGAGGGAAGCAACTGATACATTTTTTTGGACAAAAAATTAAAAATTATGTAATAAAATGTTATTTTTATTACACACCTATGAACTGAACTGAACCGATCCGAGCCGTGTGCAGCAGTGCGTGTGTGTGGTGGACCAAAGCCCACCTAGCTCCTCCCCCTCCACAAAATGTGTAGTGACCCAAGGGCCAATCTAGGAGAGTGAGGTGGGAGCTTATAAACTCTCTCACTTCCAACTAGTTGTCCAACGTGGGACTTGTTAAAACCCACACATCCCTTCAACTTCCCTTTTCTCTTTTCTTTATTAACCCACTTCTTATTCATAACCAATATATCATTGTTCATTAATTCCAACAGTAGTGTTGTCCGTCCGATTAAGCTTCGTCTAAGGTTCAGATTTCTTTTCACTTCCAAAACGTTAATTCACGTGGCTCATTCACGGCAAGAAAACAGTAACAGAGATAAGTTATTTTGTAAAAATAATTTTTAAAACAGTAACTGGATTTTAGTTTTTAAAACAAAAGTTAGGAAACACCTAAATGATGTTTTGATTCTCCTTTTCAGTTTTCTATTCTCAAAACAAGCAAAAACACAGAGAATAGCTATTCTCATTAATGCCAATTGCGTAAATATTGATGTTTCATTATTCTACAATATACGTGAAATGAAAGGCCGTAAGGGTTTGAGAATTTCAGTAACCTTCTATAGCTAGTGAGCGGGAAGCTGAAGCCAGTGAGCGCGAAAGGATTCACTCATCTTCTCTTCATCTTTGGAAGCATTTCTCAGGTTTTATTTTTACTAAGTAAAATCTTCTCTCATTAGATGTTTGAAAAGTTGGTATGCTTTTGTTAGTTTTCGAACGAATGCTCTCCCAGCAAAAACCAATCTTTCTGCTTCTTCTTTTAACAACACGCTCTCTTTAACAAGTGTTATGCATATATCTAACATAGGCCACCACCACCATTACCTGCATAGCCAAACCCAATTGAAGCAAGTTCACCCTCTCAGCCAACCATAACCTTTTCTCTATCTCCAAATTAGAGACCTCGCCAGAAATAAACCATAGCCAGTCACCATGACCGACACCCTTTTGCCATCACAAGTCCAAACAACTCATCGTCTTGCTCTGTTTGAACCTTAGCCAGAGTTCGTTTTTTCTCTTCTCTCAATCCCTTTATTTTTCTTCGGTAAAACCCTTTTTCGTTCTTATTAGAATTAGTTTATATTCTCCAAAAAAATAGTTTATTGGTTATGGTTTGAAAGATTGGGTTAGGCTTCTCTCCAGTTGTTTAGGAAGAAGATATTTGGGATTTTGCCTGGTTGATATAGACTTATTTTTAGTCTTCAGATTGAGTAGTCATTTTACTATAATAATTAATGAAGAAAATAATAAAAATTAAGTACAAAAATGAGATTAGATGAGTTATTTTTTTATACCTCACAAAAATGTTTACCAGAAAAGCAAAATGAAGAAGAAAGCTGAAAGAGTAAACAAAATCAAAATACATGCTTATGCGTTCTTCTAGCCCTCAAACTTTTCATGAACTGTTGCATTCTTGTTGACATCAATGGAAGCTGATTGGGAAGTTAGAGTAGGACCCGAAATTTGTTGTGATTCATTAATGTCAGTAAATGAATTTGTTGTGGTGTTGTATGGCCAAATAGCCTGCAATGTGAATATAACACTTTTTGTACGCGAAATTACTTTTGCAAAAATGGTAGCTCTATGAGTCTCTTTCTGCCTTCTGTTATGCTCCATTGATGTATTTTTGTTTTTGTTTGTTGTTTTGTTTTCCTTTTTTTGTTAAGGAGGATTTCTTATCCTCTAAATTCCTTGTAATTTTTCTTCTCTGTCTTTATGAATTTCTTCTTTTATATCCCCCAAAAAATAGAACATAACAGTAGGATGATTTGTGGCTGGCAACTTGCTCTGCTGTTCAAAGATGCTATGGGTATTGGTCCTCCAATACCCTAGTTCAGATGTACTTTGGAAGTAAGGAATGCATTTGTGGATTTGTTACTGAAGAGAAAAGAAAGCATGCTTTAAGCCTAAATCTTGCATTACTTGCAGAAAGATTGAGAGGAGAAGAGGGGAATATGATTTTTATCAAATCACCCATAACTGAGAAGTAATATACTGACACGAGTTAGATATCTCTATAATATCATTGTGTAAACCATTTTGGGGTGTAAATATGACTTGCTTGCTCCTTTTTTTGGGTAGGCATATATCTAAGTATATCTAAATAGTGAGAGAAATTACCAAAAAAAAGTGAGAGAGAAGCCTAATGAGAACTAAAAGTTTTGAGGGGATGTTGAAAGAGTGACTGCAACTACATTTATATTTTGACTTTAACTTCAAAAAAGGATTCAAAAGTTATTAATGATGAGTTATTTCATGATTCAACTACATTTTTTTTCTTTCACACCCCCACCCCCACACTCAGTTTTTTTGTGCATTACACTATACGCAACTAGCATTGATCTCAAGAGTTTGCCCTCCAGTATGTATGTAACTAGCAGAAGTGCTACATTAGCTAGAAAGCACGAATGCAACATTTTGAAAATGGATATGCAAACCCGAGGATATGAGAATGTGATATTAATAATGTAATGTACATTAATAATATAATTAAGGGAGAATTGAGAATGTGATATTATTAGCAATTGAAAATAAAATAACAAAAAAACTTATAATATGATTTATTTTAGTCTTCAAAAAGACTTTATAAATTTTTTACATATGCTTAAAGAAAGTTAACAAGAAAAAAATTACTAACCAAACAAGTTTTTTGTTTTTTTTTGTTTTGAAAACATATTTTTAGAACAAAATTAGCAAGCAGATTTTTTTGTTTTCTAATTTTTAAAACTCTTTTTAAAATAAGTTTATCAAATGGATTTTCTTCTTCTTTTCTTTTGAAAATTAGTTTTTAAAAATTATTTTACAAAACAGTTTTAAGAAAAAAAAATCAGAACACAATCAAATAAATCTTTTATTCAACACTTTTTCTTAATTTTATCTTGCTGGGCTTGCCTTGGTGCTATTTGGTCCACTACCCTGCACTTCTGAACTCTTTTCAGCGTAAATAAAACAGAAATCAAACCATTAAAATAGATACAATTCAAAGCTAACACAAATCAATAGCTCTCGACTCTCGAGATTGAGCGATCTTATCGTTTATAGCAGTTAATTAAACCTGGTCGTGGCATTATGTTACTGTTAATGGTTGTTTATAAGAAAAGTTCTTTTCTCCACAGAAAAATGACATATTACAGTCTACATAGTCATCCGTACCATTTCTTTTATTTTTGGCATTCATATTTTTATTTCATTAGGATATTTTTTATTTCTGAAATTTCTAGAATTAAATTTTAAGAATCAAATCACTCCATTAGCTAGAAATGGGTGGTTATTCTGCTGTAGCTAATTCCCCCAGTTAAGTGGGAAATGTCCTATTTGATGATGGTTCCTTCGATGACGCGTTAGTGTTTTTTCCTTTCTTTATTTTCAATGTAAAAAGAAAAACAAAATTACCCCCTTTGATTTTTTATTTTTTGTTCCCTCTACCAGCATTTGAACATGGACCATTATGGCGTTGTCCTCCAACAACTACCATATCGACCATGAATGCCAGTTACCCCCTCTTGATTATTTCACCTAAACTCCTCTGAGTTTTAAATTATAATGACATTAAAAATTAGCCTATACTCTTCCATTGAAATTAATATTTTCGGATTATAAATGAGACCCTAAGAACTTAAGCAAAAAGAAATCGAGTCCTCTATTTTTAATTAAAATGACAGAAGATGCTTCCTTAATATTTCGATAAACATCAAATTTAAGATTTAAGTAAACTATACTTATTTGCTTCGATATTTATTTTCAAATTAAATATTCATTTGATCTATTATTTTAAAAATCATTTTAAGATCTTTTCTTTTTTAATTTAAGAGTAAGAGAAGTCTATGTATATGTACTCTTAGTGTACATAAGATGTCTGTATGTTGATATATGAGGTGTTTATAGTGGCAATGGTAGAGACCAAGCACTAGTGGAGCTTCCCATGGTGCATAAGGGAGGTGTGTGTGTGGAAGTGGCTAAGGTGGCTCTCCATAGTCATAGCCGTGGAGGCTGAGTGGAGAAGAAGAAGATCCGTCCCTCAATGTGAGAGGGGGTATTTAGAGCAAGAGCCCTAGTCAACTTAGTCAGCCTAGCCTTTTCAGGATAGGCATGAGCTGGTGTGCATGGAGAAGAGGGGGAACCCTAAGTTGCCTTCTAAAAGAGGGCTTTTTAGGCTGGGCCTAACGGTTGGGCCCATGTGAGTGGGCTATCCAGAACAGTATATATATTTTTTAAACAGCAGGTTCATATGTATTATTATCATTTATACAAATATGTATTAATTTAAGAAAAATGTTTTTCTTGCCACTATTTTAAGCTTACCACTTTTATTACTTGTTTGATTATCATTGAATCAATTTAAAATCAAGAGTTAAAAAAAAATTAGCGGTTGTTAATTTCAAATTAATTCAACGATAACCGAACAATTAATAAGAGTGATAAGTCTAGCCGTTGACATTTTAAAGATTAAAATACTTTTTGGGTCCTCAACAAAAATCACATGGGCCATTTTAATCTCTTATAAAAAAATTGACTTGTGATCTCACTGAAATTTAAAATAGATCTAATTAATTGAAATTGTGGTCTTTTTGAAATTCAAGAAGACCTATGTTAATCTTTAAAAGACTACGAGTAACTATGAGTCAATTTTGTTTTTTTAACGAATTAAAATAAATTTCGTTGAAAATCTAAAAAATACTTTATTCTATTTTAAATTGATGCAATAATAACTAAACAAGTATATAATGGTGGTACATGGCAATTCCCCTCATTTAAATAAGGTTATTAAGACTCATAATTTCTACACCGTGAGCCACTGACTGCACAACAAGTTCTAACTTCTAATCATTTGGGTACTGAACAAAAAAGGGTTGAAGAAAAATTGGAACTTGTGGCCTCTCACTCTCTCAGTGTGGCTCAGATGAGCGATTCACAGGCCAGAGACGAATAAGAAAGAGAACGAGGTACGCAAACCTCTGCACTCCTCGAACTTCAATTCAACTTTCTAATGTTGTAGAATTCTGGTTTCAACTTCCTGTGGTTATAGCCGCTGTTATGTTATGGTGCTTCTACTGCCGCAATTCATTCCATGATTGGTTTTCATTATTCATTTCAATAAATAAAACAAAAAAAAAAAACATATAGAAGATGGGTACCGGGTCGGATTCCAATGGATGGAACCGTGCTCAAGGGTTGGCCGTCAAGACTCTGCTACTAATTGGTGGTGCACTTCTCGTTAAACGCCTCCGTAAGTCCACAACACGCTGGGACCATGCTCGTTTTGTGACTCAGTCCCTCACCGGCGAAAAGGTTTTTATTAATTTAATCCACTTTTCTCTTTTAAAAAATATATATATAGTCTAGGTTTAATTTTTTTAATTTTTATTTTGTTTCTGAAACATTAACTTGGTGTAGTATTCAAAGGAGCAAGCTTGCAGAGACCCTGATAACTATTTCAATATTAGGTATGTTTATCCCTCTTTTTCTTCTTTTTTGGTGGACAATAGAGTGTCTTAGAAATGCAACACTGAAATTTGATATTTACAGAATGCTTACATGCCCAGCAGCAGAGCTAGTAGATGGTTCAAAGGTTCTGTATTTTGAACAGGTGGGCATTACTCTATACATGTCTATAAGTTTCTTCTTTGTGAGTGATTGTTTTTAATCTTTTTTTTTTTATCTGTGCTTTAAAAATTAGCTCAATGAAGATTTTTTTTTTTTTTTTTTAATGCTGCTAGGCCTTTTGGAGGAGTCCACAAAAACCATTTCGGCAGGTAGTGTATATATCTTGTGAGAATTCTTATTTATGTTTTCCTTTTCTATTTCTTCATACTTGAAATATGAACTGGAGCAAGATATTTCCATTGGCCATGAGCTTCTGTGAAGATTGCTGCACGTTAAACTTTTTACATTATTGTTTGGTTTTCTCTATGATTCAAAAATATCTTAATGTTAATTGTCTCATCTTTTTTGCAGAGGTTTTTTATGGTGAAACCTTGTCCAAAAGAGTTGAAATGTGATGTTGAGGTATGTATTTAGTCACTTTAAAGATGTTGATGCCCTTTTATGAGTTCTTTCCTTTCTTGTAGCGCTTAATTTGTACGTAATGTGGTTTAATGATTGTGATAAGTTTTCTCTGTGAAGAGTCTGAATTAGCCACACCACCCTTGCCTTGAGTACAATGATTAGCATGCATTAATGATGCTGATGCCTCTTTTTTGACATCTCTAGTTTCATTAAACCGTATTGAGATCTTTAAAGGGAATTTACGATTACTTTTCTATAGAATGGCAATGAAAAAAAATGTATGCTATGCCTTCCTTACGAAAAGGAATTTTTTTTTGTAAACTGTTTTAAACTTGTTATGAAGTTTTTCTGGTTTTGTGTATACACAGTGATGCAGGACAAAGGGGGTCAATTATAAATAAATGCTGGGTTGTTATTTGGTTATGGTAGATTAGTACTCACAGTACAGTGGTATGGACAGTACTCTTCTACAATATTCCAAACAACACCCAACAGTTGAGTATAACTGATCCAACCGTTGTCCTACATTACATGGAGACTTGTTCTTATAATTTTGCTCTGATTACTAGAAGCATGCTTGCACTTTATTTTTTTTCTTCTTTAGAAGAATAGCATATTTCTCTTTTTTCTTGTTACAAGTGGCTGTTATATTTTGTTTTGACTTAGAGCAAGTATACTAATTTCTATTCAATGGCAGTTAAGTACATATGCCATTAGAGACATGGAGGAGTACAAGAATTTCTGTGATCGACCAAGGGATCAGCGTCCACAGCCAGAAGAAGTCATTGGGGTAAGCATTCACCCATGTTCATAGTTCATATTGTGAACTTAGCTTAGAGGCTTCTTATTTTTAGACATTTGTCATGTTATATGTTTAGAGAGAGAAGTGTGATCGAAAAGAGATTGATTTTAAAAAAAGATAGTGTAGAGGTAGTGTGAAGAAAATAAAGAAAAACATGAGAGAAGGAGATTGGTGAAAAATAAAAGATATTTTCAGGATGAAAAGAAAGAAAAGCAAGGTGCAAAAGAGACAAACAAAAAGAAGGAAAATCTTAGGATGTTTTGAAAATCATTACATAGTAGTTGTAGATAGGTTGATGGGTACGCAGAAACTGCATAGACATTACAACTGGCAAACAACTAGAAAACCACAGCTGAAGCCAAGTTTTGGTATAAACATCTCAAATTGAATATTGCAAAATATATTAATGATTAAGGATTATATTACAAAGTGCTGGAGATGCTGAGAATCTAATTGGCCAGCTTTCAGGGTTGATAAAGGGAGTATGGTGAGTCAAATGCATCTCAATATCAATTGTCTAATAGTAACTGATTTTTACTTATAAAAGCAATGGAGACTAGCTCCTTACAAAAACAGAAAAATGCAGGAAATAAAAGATAAATATAGAATTCGTGCCTACCATACACCCCATATCCTTCCCTCTTATATTCTTACTTCTGCCCAACCGAATTTTGAGCCTCCACTATTCCTTGCCAGATCAGCATTTGGTTATGCTCCAGACTTAACATGAATATTACCTTTATTTCCTATTCTGTCCTCCTCGCTCCCTCTACCAACGGATACTGCTATTCAAACTTTCTTTCATGTGGAAGAAAGGGTAGGCAAGGAACGAAAATATTCCTATATCCATGTCTATGATATAGGAATGGTAGGTAATGGGTTACTCCTACAACACGTCCCTGTATAATGCTCAAGGCTCGAGGCTGAGTAGCAGGAGCAACTTTTAATTTATTATGAGCCTACAAGTTAGTAATAGAGTTCTATATCTTTGAAGTTATGATTGACCAAATGAGTGAAGGTGTTAGAGATATATATAACCATTAATGTAACCTCACTCATCAGCTTAAGCTTTTGGGTTGAATTGGTTCTTTACATGGTATCAGAGCTTCGATGTCATGGGTTCGATCCTCATCACCCTCCATTTAATTAATAATTAATTAAGTCTTATGGAATTTGTTAGCATAGGTAAGTAGGCCTATGCATTGTCCACCCTTTAAGCCCAGTGAGCTCTCGTGTGAGGGGGCATGTTAGAGAAATATAAAACCATTAATACAGCCTCATCCAACAACTTAAGCTTTTGGATTGAATTGATTCTTTACAGAAGGCATGTTCCATCTTGTCTGAGGAGATGCAGCATGTATTATTAGCCCCTAAATTTTGTTTATAAGGGGATACTATGATAATTCTATGACTTACAATTGAGATTCACAGAGGAAGCCATGCAAGGCAAGAGAAGAAGAGTGTGAAGCCAGAGAGATGATGAGAGAGAAGATTTGAATATCATTTCATATGAAGAAAAGTAAAGTTACATTAAGCTCTGACACATGCTCTATTTGTAGAGCTCAAAGGTGACTCAACAATGAGTCACTAACTAATCTCACCAGCTTAACTTATAAACTTTAAATGGTTACAAATTACAACAACCAATTAGGTGAGTATCTACTGTACTAAGGACTATAGTAACACAATATGCTACAGAGGTAAAACAGTAAAAGATACACAGTAAAGGTAAAAGTAACACTGTAAAAGTTATACTAATACTCCCCCTCAAATGCAAGGGGATTGGAGCTGCAGGGCAGAATCTAGGACTCTAAGTTTGTGTCTCAATTCTGCAAGCCTGATGGGTCAGAGAGCCTTAGTGAGAGTATCAACTACTTGATCAGAAGCAAGAACATGAGAGACAAAAAGTTCTTTTGCAAGGACTCCTTAATGAACAAAATGAAGATCAAGTTCCATGTCATTCATCCTAACATGCAGTACTGGATCATGAGACAAAGCAATGGCACTCAAGTTATCACAAAAGATTTGAGGTGTGGATAATGGTAGCTTCAATTCACGTAAGAAGAGATTTGATCCATAGAATTTCTGCACAAGTTAGGGCCAAGCTTCTGCCTTAGCCGTGGACCTAGCAACCAGGGTCTGTTTCTTGGACCAAGAAACCAAATTTGGATCCAAAAAGATACAAGCACCAGAGGTTGACCTTTTATCATCTAGGTCACTAGCCCAATCTGCATCACTAAAGGAAGTGAGGGAGAAAGAACCCTTAGAATTGGCACATTGGAGCAAGACACCGAAGGAGCTAGTTCCTTTGAGATATCTCAAAATTCTCTTGACAACCTTCCAATGATCCTCCAATGACTGACTGATGAATTAGAATTGGCACATTGGAGAGATAGACCGAAGGAGCTAGTTCCGTTGAGATATCTCAAAATTCTTTTGACAACCTTCCAATGATCCTCCAATGACTGACTTATGAATTGGCAGACTTTATTCACTGCAAATTTGATCTCAGGTTTGGTGATGATTGCATATTATAGAGCACCCACTATGGATCTATAGAGATATGGGTCTGAAAAATAATTGGAGCCAATTCGTGAGAGTTTACAATTGGAGGGCATAGGGGAGGAGATAGCTTTTGCATCATGCATTTCTACCTTGCCAGTAACTCTCTAATATATTTGGACTGAATAAGAAAAACAGTAGTCGGAGATTTCTGCGTTACCTCTATTTGTTAGAGAATAATATAAACCATTAAAAAGGCTCTCACTCAACACCTTAAAGTTTTAGGTTGAATTGGTTCTTTACATGGTATCAAAGCTTCAATGACCATAAGGTCACGAGTTCGATCCTCACCGCCCCCCATTTGTGGAATTAAATAAGTACTGGGTAAAACCAAAAAAAATTGGACCTTTGCAGTATCTACGTTTGAAGCCCAACGGGCTCTTACGAGATGGGTGTGTGTTAGAAAATAATATAAAGACAATAGTCAAGGGCACCTAGATCTTTCAGAGCAATGGTAGAATGCAACTGGGAAACAATTGTTTGAATAAATGCATTATCATTACTGGTTACTATAATATCATCCACATGCACCAATAGAAAGATCAATCTGGAAGCAGTCTTGTAAATGAACAATGATGGATCACAAAGACTTGGTTGAAAACCAAGAGTGACTAGAGGTTGTTCGAGTTTTTCAAACCTTGCCCTTGGGGCTTGTTTCAGCCCATAGAGGGACTTAGTAAGTCTTCAAACTAGGGATTTATCATTTGCTTCAAGGCCAGGGGCTGTTGCATATAGACCTCTTCCTTCAAATTACATTGAGGAAGGCATTGTTGATGTCAAGCTGTCTTAAGGGCCAGCCAAAGGTGAGAGCATCTTGAAGAATGATTCAAACTGTGACTAGCTTCAAAACCGGGGAAAACGTCTCATTATAATCAAAACCAGCCCTTTGGTGGAAGCCTTTGGCCACTAGTCTGGCCTTGTACTTGTTCATACTCCGATATGGGTTTTCCTTTTGAAGACCCACTTGCATCCTATTGCTTGCCTTCCATGAGGTAAAGGAACAAGTTGCCAAGTGTTATTAGTGAGCAAAGCATTATACTCTAGTTGCATAGCCTTGAACCAATGAGGGCTGGTCAAGGCTTGGCTCATAGTAGAAGGCTCAACATGTGTGAGCAAGGCTAGATGTCTAGCTGCAGTTTTGGACCTGATGGTTAAAGAGTGTGTAGGTGATGGTGTACTAAGTGCGCCAGAAGGAATGTACTCTGAATGAGAGGAAGGACATGAAGTGTCATAAGAAACTGAAGGAGATGAGTCAGGAGTGGAAGGGATTGAGGAGGAAGTGGATGGTGGAGAGTTTGAGAATTGTTGGGCAAAACTAGGAGGTGATGAAGGAGGTACATTAGTAGCGGCAGGGGAACTGGAATTTTGGGGCAGTAGCTGAGAAGAAGCAGGTGAATCTGAATGACTAGGAGAGTGAGAAGGTGGGTCATGAGTATATGTAGGGAACTCCATAGATGAAGTGTTGTTTGGTAAGGAGGGTGGGACAACATGGCTGATTTGTTGAGAGGAGGCAGAATCTGAATGAGTTCTGGACATAGGGTAGTGCCTGGGCAGATTAGAGATAGGAATAGATGTTGGAACAGGTGAAGTATCTATGTATGTTATTCCAAGGTCAGCGTTTGAGTATGGTTTTTCTCTTCCATTGACCAACATCACAAACGCATTGTATTCTGATGGTAGTCCTTACAAAATTATTTCAATGTGCTCTTCAGCTGAGACTGCATTCCCAATCACCTTTAGTGAGTCGCACAAATTCTTGATTCGTGCAAGATACTCCTTTATTGACTCCGAATCCTTTTTCATGGATCTGAGCTCAGATCTTAGTTGCCAAGATCTACCCTTCATCATGCCATGGAACAATTTGTGCATTGTCCCAGGCTTCGAATGCTTCACTGGTTGGATATTCAGAAATAGTTAAAATCTAACAACCAATTAGGTGAGTATCTGCTGTAGTAAGGACTATACAATGCACAAGAGGTAAAACAGTAAAAGATACACACAGTAAAGGTAAAAGTAACACTGTAAGAGTTACACAAATACTTATCAAAGTTGGATGTAGAAGCTTAGCTGGCTTCTTGAATGTATTACCTGGACAAAACAGGGTATGAAGGCTCTTTCTTTCGTGAAATACTAATAGTTAAATTAACAGAAATAAATGAAATTCCTCCCATGGAATGGTTTATCACTTCTACTTTCTGATGATAATATTGTCCCAATTTCTTTTCTTGCTCTGCCTGTGTGAATGTTGTTGTGGCTTTTCTTAGGTTATTTTTGTTTGCTTCTTAGATTATTGAAAGACATATTACATTAATTGAATAATCTTTTTAAAAATTCTGCACAAAAATCTATTTTGATTGATAGTTTCTTAGATAATTGCTTGAGCATGTGCTAAATGGGAATTCATGATGCATTTATGTGTATTTGAATAGCTTAAGATCTCTAATGCTCGGACAATACTTCTATTCATTTTTGTAGTTGACTTTCCTGAATACTTGAATTGTGATTTGCAGGATATTGCAGAACATTTGACAACAATACATCTTAAGCGTTGTCCCCGTGGAAAACGTTGCTTATATGAAGGTTCAACCCCGCCTGGCGGATTTCCTAATTCTTGGGTAATTTTCAGTTCAAACTATTGTCTTAATATTCTCCGCCCCATCCTTTATACCAGTGCCTGTGTGTACAAGAGGTGGGTTGAATTATTTTCTCTCCTTTTTATAGCAGAATGGAGCAACCTACTGTACTTCAGAACTTGCAGTTATGAAGAACAATGAGATACATACCTGGGATAGGGGTTATGATGATGATGGAAATCAAGTTAGTTTTCTTCATCTCGCTTTATCTACTTTGTTTAGTTTGATGGATTACTTTTACCATTACAGTTACTTGCAACTATGAACAACAGAGAAAAACATAAACATGAAACTAATTTCTATGTGATTGCAGGTTTGGGGACAAAAAGATGGTCCTTACGAGTTCAAAGCTGCACCAACATCCAGTTTTACTGATATGTTTTCTCCCTTGAACTTCCCCCCTCCACCATCCATGGAGAGAAGAATAGAGGGTTCATTTATTTTGCAAGAATGAAGGCGTTTCGTAAAACCACAATGTGTATTTCTGCTACTGTAGCTGTCTGTCAATATAATGTCTTCCTCGTATGTTAGTCATTTCTATCATGTCAATATTTTGATTTCAGTTAAAAGCAATAGGCCAATAATTTTGGGGTCAAAGTTGGATGGATAATTCTAGTATATCTTTGAAGAGATAGAGGGGCTTATAGTTATGACGAGGCCGAAAAGCTTAGTATTGAGAAAATGCATAATATGCGCCTACAATTGTAATGCCAGAATCGTCTTTAGAGAATGTATTACTATAATTTTTGACTTTCTTGGGGAAGAAATTCTTAGAAACCTATTGTTTTCCATGTGCTTGTCATTGACCTTAACGTCGTATTTTCTGCTTTCCTTTTGACATTGTTGAAAATATCAAATGCTTCTTATCACTTTGTTGGTGACAATTTTGATATCTTTTTACCGGGCAATGACTACATTTCGCTATTGACTTGATAAACATGACGAATCTTCTCTCCCAGGATAATAGCACCATATATTTTGAGGCCCTTTGATCAGTCATAGATGGCAAATGAAATCCGAATTCAGTTTTCTGATATTTCTGTTTTATTTCTGGTTTAACTTGAGATAACTTTTTTTTTTTTTTGGGTACAAGCTTGAGTGGAAATTGAACACAAGGAACTAAATGGAACCGTGCAAAAGTTGAACTAAATAAACAAAAGAACAGCAATAGATTAGAGGTCCATTTTTCTGACGTAAAGGGTAATGCAACCAATCATGCAGCTAAAATTTGTTGTTCAGATAGAAGTATAATCCCGCAAGCACTGCAATTCCCACGGCAACTCCAATAGGAAGTGCCTTCCTGTGCAAAGTTTATCACATAGATAATGTTAAGACAAAAAATGATGCACCTGAGTGAACATATTCCTCTGTAGGCAAAAAGATAAGGATTATGGCTCACCCAATTGTTTCATCTCTTTGGATTTCGGCTTTTCGTGCCTTTCTAACATCTTTATCATTTGCGTTTTTTGTGACAGCTGGAGCATATGACTTAAACCTTCCTTTTGGAGCACCACAGACTGCAAAAGACCATTTAATGCAATGATAATGCAATCTACCTACTTAGTTAAACGACCCTTCTTTCTTTTGCTTCTCACAAGAAGTGCTCCTTTCTTACCAATATAATTATGAGACCTTAATCAAGTAAGAGGGTAAAGACAAAAGTAATTTAATTACCAGGACAGAAGAATTTATCAGGCAATTTCTCAAAGGGGGTCCTCTCATTGTAAATATACCTGCATCATTATCAGGAGAAGCATAAGATTGTTGTATATAAAGTACGAGTCCATAGATTTCATTCATATACTATATTGAGAGGGAAAAGAGTAAAGGGTACCCGCAATCACGACATATATAGGCTTGCTTGGAAGCCACACGCATGGAAATCCTGGGAGCTCCACAAGTAAGATGGTGTTGATTAGGATGAAGTAAGAGGTTAAGGGAACCATAGAAGAAAGATGATGATGACTTCAAAGCAAAAGGGTTAAACAGTGGTCGAAGGCCAGCATTGCTAGTGGGGGCTAATGAAGGTGGGGACTTAGCAGTGTGAAGGTTGGTTGTGAATGCCTGCAAGTGCAAGGCCATTTTTCTTTCCCTTTTGTTCTTCCTCTGTATCGCAGAGTCAAGGAAGTGAGAAGAAAGAGAGACAAGAAGATAAGAAAATGGTTGTGGAAACAACGGGTGACTATGTAAATGTATAATTGGTTTTGTGTCTGAAGCCTACGTGGAAAGCGTGGCATTCATACTCCCCACACAAGCCTTTTACCACTTTATGGTTTTGATTTCATCTTATTAGGACTACGTCTTCTCTTTTATTTTTGCATTATGCACCAAGTATCGATGCATTTTTGCTAAAGCCCCACACTTTAGAAAATGATCTCTCCCCCCGTACAGGAGGGTTTTTTTTTTTTTTGACCCCAGAGTAAAAAATTTAAGTCTTACTCCTCATCTTAATTATTGATGGACGGAAATCAACGGCTAGGATAGAGAATAAGACTTATAAGTCTTACTCTGGAGTCAAATGATCTCTCTCCTATATGTATATATTCACTAATTTATAAATCTTACTCTGGAGTCAAATGATCTCTCCCCTATATATATATATATATATATATATATATATATATATATATATATATATATATATATTCACTAATTTATAAATCTTACTCTGGAGTCAAATAATCTCTCCCCTATATATATATATATATATATATATATATAAGGGAGAAATCATTTGACTCCAGAGTAAAATTTATAAATTAGTGAATATATATATATATATATATATATATATATATATATATATATATTCACCAATTTATTAATTACCAAGATAATTTTTTTATTCTTAAGGCTCAATCTCGAGACCTCTGATGAAAGGAAAACGTTGGTTTTCCGTTACTTTTCTTGTCCCCGTATTGTTGAGAGCTTCTAAATACTTATGGTTCTAAATTAGTTCTTAGAAAAATTGGCCAAGTGTTTGGTAACTAGGGAGTTCATGGTATGGGAAATTGCCATCAAATGAACCAAGTGATGAACTCACTGTGATAAATGGGTTTAGATACCATATTTCAATCTAAAACTTCAAAGCATTATGTTTATAGGTCCTTTCCTTTATATGTCATCACTAGCTTCACATTATGGGTTTGGCTAGCCTATCAAACCCAAACACTAACCATCATATATATATATATATATATATATATATACTAGGTTCACAAAGGTCAAATAACCATTGGCTCCGATATCAAAGTTGGGTGATTGGGGAGCACATGGTAAGGGGAATTATCAAATGGATTAAAGGGCAAAGTCAATATAGAAAATGGTAAGGAACACCACATCTCAACCCAAAAATCATAAAATATTAAATTTATGAATTCTTTCTTAATACAATGGTGGCACTGAGGTTCGAACCATTGTATCAATGAAGAAACCATAAAGTTAATATCTTAAAATTTTTGAATTGAGATATTTATAGCCTGTTTGGCACCTCTTTTTTTGAAACTAAAGCTAAAAAAGAGAGCTATAAAAATAAAGCTAAAAATTATTTGATAATTATATAAAGAAAAATCTACTTCTTATATTGATGTAAAAAAAAAAAAGTTCGCAGCAACCGATTATAACTATGTATTTCCGAAAATAAATAGTTATAATCATAAAGCTTTTTTTCTCTCTCTCAATTTCAGCATACAACTTTTGAAAAGAGAGAAAAAATAGCTTTACGATTATAACTATGTATTCATGGGAATAAATAATTATAATTAGTTGCTACAAAAAAAATTTTTGCAACAACATAAGAAAAAAGGGACCCTTATATAAAATCTTTAGTTTAAAAATTACTTAAAAGTTGTTCATTTCAAAAAAAAAAAAAGCTTCTCTTAAGAGCTTTTAGCTTTTGACTTTTTTCTTCATTATAAAAAAAGTTTTTTTATTATATAAACTTTTGTAAAAACTTGTCTAACCTAACTCGTGCTTATAAGAAGGATATAAGCTAGAAAAAAAACCTCTCAAACAAGCACTTAGATGATTTTTCTACTTATATCATTCTCGCTTAATTGACTTTTAACTTATGGACGTTTGGTTAAGGAGATATTTTTTTTACTAGGTAAATGCAATTACCAGTGATATGATAAGAAAGTGAGTTTGATAGGAAAGATTAAAAAAAGTTGTTAGGTTGGCCAAAATTTTACCAGAAAAATTGAGTTAAATTTTCTGAGTCTTTGTTTGGTTGAAGGTAAAATAATGATGGAGAAATGGTTTGAAATGATAAAATTAACCCTTATACTTACATTTTTTATTTTGAAGAACGTTTATGAACCCACAAATGGAAAATGAGCTTTTTTGCTTTCAGTGTTACGGAAGGTGTTTCTACAATAAATAAGTTTAAATGAGCTTCTGTTATTTATCACATTGAAAAATTTAATTAGACCAAATTAATTTAATGCATTTCACTGTTAAGGAATTTTTCCTTTCACGCTGGGAGTATTTTGGTCTCTCATCATGTTGTCTCCCTTGCCATTTACACATGCAATTACAAAAACCACCATCGCTCTTGTCATTCGAAACAGTGAATTATTTCCCATTTTACATGCACACTTCAAACTCTAGGGAAATCTGTTAGATAGAGAAATATTTCAAAAACCTTCACCAAACATGGAGTAATAAAAATATAACTTCAATTGTTGAGATATACAGTCTCACATTGATTGTATGAGCAATCAATGTGGCCTTTATGTAAAGAACCTTGGGATACACCATCCCAAAAGCTAGCTCAAGGGGTGGGAGTGCCCAAGGCCTTATAAACTCCACATTAGTTGCACATACAACCAATGTGAGACTATATATCTCAACACGCCCCTTGCACAAGAGCCCATTGATTGGGCTTGAAGAAAGGACAATACAACAGGCCCAACCTACATGTGCTTAGAAATTCCACAAGAGAAAGTGGGGGCGGCGAGGCTCATACCATGTAAAGAACCTTGGGATACACTTATCCAAAAGCTAGCTTAAGGGGTGAGAGTGCCCAAGGCCTTATAAGCTTTTGGGGTGGTATATCTCAAGGTTCTTTACATCAATCAAACATCCGCTTATAGAACTTTACTATTCATACTTGGATTCTGTATATGAATATGAAATACTCTTGTACCTTCGTGTGTGAAATCTCAACTACTTCAGGTTAAATAGAATTTTTTATTTTTTATTTTTATTTATTTATTTATTTATTTACCTTTTTTGCTTGACGTGGGATGCTCAGATGGTAAAGTGATTCTATAAAAGTTCCCACAATGTGTAGGGTCTAGTGAATGGACCGGACAAATTTATGGTAGGTATTGGTATTTTGCATTTGCAAAAGACTCATATGAACTTGGGTCACATGATGCAAAACAACAACAACTGTTGTGCCAAGGCTCTCCTTCATGGTTAAATGTTCTTATGACGTAAAATAAGTGTATGCCAATTGCGCAAATTCATAGGTAATTGGCTGTCAGTTTCTCTAACTTGTAATTTAAAACTTTCCAAAAGAAATTTTTATTATTCATCACAATTTGGGATAGACAAAGAGAAGAAGAAGCAAGATATTATTATTATTATTATTATTAGGTGAGGCAATATGATTTAATTTACACGCAACTTCTAAGCTTTTACAGCATCAATCTCATGCCGCACATGCACACAGTCCAATTCAAGAAATTTACCAAACCTGTTTTGCTAAGAATTACAATGATTAATCTGAAAGTTAAAACGGCCTACAAGTTGTTGAATTCACCAGGTTTTGCCTTCTTTTACGGGCATTCATGTGGAAGGGAATTTTTTAATATGATCCAGGATCACTGTGCTTTTTCCTTTAAAAAATTGATATGTGTACTATTTTTTTTTCTCCTTCTCTCTCTTCTCTTTCCTCAACTTTTTCTCACCTCCGCCTCACCAATTTTTGCTTGAGCCCGGAGCATACAAGCTCCTGCGGAAGATTCCTTGTTCAATAAGAGAATCAACACATTAGGTTAAGCTGCATTTGTCACATTTGATGAGACCTCTATTTTGTATAGAACGTAGCCTAACACTGCTTGAGCAACTACAACATGTAGTATAAAAAATTTAAAGTAATTCCTGTATACTTTTAAATAAATTTAAATAAGTCCTTTTTTTATACATAATTTAAATAAGTCCTTGTTAACAATCGTTAAGAGTTTGTTAATTCTGTTAAATAACAAGAAAAGAGAGGAACATTGAAATAAACTGTGTGTATTGATATGAATAAGAATGTACAATATATAGACATACTAATGGGATAAGCTCAAACCTAGCCCAAACCTAATACAATCAGACCTAAAACAAAACCCTAATGAAATAAGGAAAATACTAATTACAATATATTTCTAACACTCCCCCTCAAGTTGGAGCGTATAGGTCATATGCACCAAGCTTGTTACATATAAACTCTATTTGAGGACCCCTCAAAGATTTTGTAAACACTTCTGCTAATTGTTCATTAAAGGGTACAAAACTAGTTTTAATTTCACCAGCAAGAACTTTTTCTCGAATAAAGTGACAATCTATTTCTATATGCTTGGTTCTTTCATGAAACACTGGATTTGATGAAATGTGCAGAGCTGCTTGATTATCACAAATGAGAGTTTCCTGTCCAGTATCTCCAAACTTAAGCTCTCTGAGAAGCTGTTTAAGCCAGATGAGCTTGCAAGTAGTAGTCTCCATGGAGCGGTATTCTGCTTCAGCACTTGATCTGGCAACTACACTTTGTTTCTTACTTTTCCAGGAAATCAAGTTGCCTCTAACAAAGACACAATACCCAGAAGTAGATCTCCTATCAGCTGGACAACCAGCCCAATCAGCACCACAGTACCCAACAACTTTATCATGACCTTTATCTTCATATTCAAGGCCTTTTCCTGGAGATACCTTGATATACTTAAGAATATGAATGACTGCATTCCAATGTTCTTGACATGGAGAATTAAGAAATTGACTGACAACACTAACTGCAAATGAAATATCAAGCCGAGTGACTATGAGGTAATTCAATTTTCCAACCAATCTTTTATACTGCTCAGGATCTGGAAAGGGCTCCCCCTGATTTGGTAGAAGCTTGATACTTGGATCAATAGGAGTATCAACAGACTTTGAATTTAACAGAGAAGTTTCTTCAAGAATAT